TAGAAGAACCCCTCCTATACTCATTATACAAATCAAGCAAGCAATGGAATATTATAAATATGTGTTAATATAATTAAATATTTTGTGGTATGGTATGGTACGATAATACTGTGGTTGACACACCTCGACCCAGAATGTCCACTTGGACTCAGAATCTAGCTATGCTAGCCGATACCTGGAGGGTAATAAAGCCATAAAGTGTAATGATGTGGAAAATGTGAATAAATTTAAACCTAAAAGTGCCTAAATATAAGAGTGCGCTAGTGAGCGGGAATGAACCCAATTCACATGTGATGTCAGAGCATAAGTAAAGTACAGTATAGTGGATTAAGAATTATATCATCAAAGGTAATCTCCAATACCAAGAGTTGCCAATAATCCTCGTCGACACAAAACCTCAGCACTAAAACCTGGAGGGGCGAAAAACAAGGGTGAGTGGACCTAAAAACAAAGCTTTATAAAAACCTTTTTGAAAACATTATAACCCCTCATTGTAAAACAAGTATAGTTTCCAAAATATACATACTACGTATAGTAAGAAAATACTTACCATAGCTTGCCATATCTCAAAAATTCAATGTGGCACAATATTTTGTAAGTAAACCATGACGTTCGTAATCACATAATCTCGCATAAGCAAACAAATCATATTGATGCTCATCTACACATGTTGACACACGAGTTCATGTAGAGATATTCTGAAATGAACATGACTAGGTGTAACAATGATATACGCTCTAGTATTACAATCACATGAAGCCTAGCACTATGTGCAGCACATACGAGTCCTAATTGCCTATAGCAATCTAGGACATGACTGGCACCTACAATGGATCCAAAGTGAGTGTACGGTGAGATGTGCACATACACGTGAAAGCCTGACCTTGACCCGGGCGAGTACTAACACCGATGCAGCAACGATGAGCAGATAACATAAATATAGTCATGCAGCAGTGATTCAATAATTCTAGTCAACATAATATTATTCAAGTTCATAAATATAATTAAGGCATCAATAATAATACGCATACATGTGCATCTTGTAAGATGTAGCATAACGTCATAATTTCAATCAATGCGCTAAATCTTAATAACGTCATGCTAATCCAGGCATATTGTGGAAAACTCTTTATAAAATGTATAAATGGAAACTAACAATTATATATATACTATATAAAAGAAAAGACCCACTCACAGTTACTTACGATGTCACATTCATTCGAGCTATGAAGCCGGAGTCTCCGATAGTAATTGCACCTAAACATAACATTGGGATCCATTAGTAAACTCAATTAAAATACTTGAATTTGGAGAAATGGACAGCGGATTCGGAATCAGTGCATCAAAATATGCTAAGGAGGATCCCAAGAAATTTTTGTAAAAAGTCAACGAAAAGTCAATGGTCAACCTAAAAAAGTCAACCAAGACGCCTCGGTGGTCAACTACGTCAAAACTTTGAAATTTCACTAAACAGATGTCAAAAACAAACTCGGGGCGTCGAAATTAGCTTAAAAGGATTCTGAGAAACTTTCGAAAAAGTCAACACGTGGAATATTCTGAACCCATTTTGGAACTGGGCTGCCAGTTGGGCTAAAGATTTGGGCCAAAGACTTTGGACCAGGTTTTGGGCTTAAGGGCCTTTTTTTTTTTTTCTTCTCCGGGCGGTTGCCGCTACAACCATCGGGATTCTACCCAGTTCCGACCACTCTAAAACTCCACTTAACCTAGCCTTCCAATATATCAAATCGAAGTTTAGAGGACAAGGAGTCGAAATATTCCTTTGGTTTCCTCGACCATGGCTGAAAAATGGCTCGAAAGCTGCCAAAAAATTTGGGAAGTCCCTTCCCAACATCGTTCTGCACCAAAACACATTTATTTTTCACATGGTAACTCAGAAACCAAGCTATCTCATCGAGATGAAGGGAAATGATGGACTCAAATCTTACCTAGGCCGTGAATGGCGGAGTCACGCCAGAGAAATTTCACTCAAATCGGACCTCTCCTCGATCCATACATGCCCAGAGAGTTTAGATCTTTAGTGAGGGAGAGAGAAAGAGTAATAGGCAAGCTCAAGGCTCTGCTCTTTGTCTCCAGCCGCACACATGGGTGGTGATGACAGGTTGAGGACGTTGTAGTCCAGCCAAAGTGGTGAGGTCATTGCACCCTCTCAGTGCTTGCAAGGAGAAAATAGAGTTAAAGAAGTGAAGGTTTGTGAGAGAAGGGAGTAGGGTGAGGTGAAGATTTGGGTGGTGATGCTCGCCGAAGACGACGAGTGATGGTTGGGTTTGCCGGTTTCTCTGCACTTGTAGAGAGAGACACAAGAAGGAGCTGAGATAGTTGAGGGAGAGACGGAGAGAGTTTGAGAGTCTGAGAGATGGGGAGAGAAGGCAAATGGCAAGAGAGCAGTGGAGACTTTGGTGAGATGTGGGCCCCATGGGCCAAAAATTATTTAAAATATTAAAAATATCCCCCTGAAATAGTATTAAAATAACCATATAACAATAAAATATTCTCACAATAATAATATAATAACTACGAAAAATATATAAATAATAAATAGTAATTTTTTTTTATAAAAGTATTTTTCGAATTCGTCCTCTAGGGTATTTTCGTCAATTCATGCTTTTAAAATTAATAAAATCGTAAAAGTAGGGACGGGTTGTCACAGTGGTAATGGTATCCATTATCAATACCGTACCATAAAATTTTGGTACGGTACAATACCGTACCATTACCGATTGGCACAAAATCAAAATGGCACGACAATTTGGCAAAAAAATCCACCCCTAGCATTTATAAATAGAATAAATCCCACAATAGTTTGTGGTTTTTATTTATTGAAAATAAGAACTTTTAAACACATTACATGAACCACTCACCTTTTATTTTACAGATGAGTTATTTGGCAAGACAAATGATAAACGAGCTGAGATTGTATTAGACGAGGAATTTAAGAGTTTTTATTTTATTATTTTGTACACTTGTAAGGTTTTTTTCGAGATATTTGAATAAGAGAAGTTTTTTTTTCGTTTTTATTTTTACTTTTATTTGCGTGCCGAGCGTGGAGTTTATTTTTCCTTTGACCCTGAGTCCGGGGCGTGACAGGTGAGCATACACTAAAGTTTAGAATGTCGAGCAAAAATACTTCCTTTATCTTTTGACATTTCCATTGGAAATGCTCTTAGACCACCTATAAATGAGATGTCAAACCCTAAGTAGAATGCCACATAATTAAATTTGAAGGCAGGAAGAAGCTCCAACTGTCAATCCATGTATGAACTTTTTGAACATTGTATGAGAAAAGGTGTTGCCAATTATATTTTATTTATTGTGTGGGTCCATTAATGCACCAATTATAAATCTTGAAATTATTTTAGTTAATTTCTTTTTAAAAATAGATCCTACAAATATTATTTATAACAAAAAACATATGGGTTGGAAGAAGAAAAAAATCTGACATTGACACGTCAACCATCAAATTAACTTTTGACAATTATCTTTTGATATTTAGCTTGGAAGAGGATCCTCTCCGGATTCACTTTGTGAGGATTATAGGGATCCACTTTGTAGGGATCATAGGGATCCCCATATCCTAGCCGTTCATCGTACATCGTGCGGTCAGTTTTCGTCAAATACTATTTTTGTTTAAATTTAAATAAAGAAAAAGACAAATAATTTCTGATCGCATAATACACGATGAACGACTAAGATGTGAGGATCCCTAGGATCCCCACAAAGTGGATCTAGATGGGATCCAATTCCATTTAGCTTAGCTTCTAGCAATTCTTTTTTTTTTTTTTTTTAATTTAATTTTTTTAATTATTATTTTTTTAATTTTCGAGTGATATTACTGATTTAACGTACACAAAGTACGTAATTACGATACGAATATTTTATATAATTAACCAAATGACAGACGAACATATGTAGTGCACAAAGTGGCCAAACAAAGACCAACCCACATCAATGAGAAACTAAAATTTGTAACTCTAGTCCAAATGATAAAATTGATAAATCCAAATTCTAATTGGATGATCTAAAATATATGCAAAACTATCTGCCACTGCTCTAACTGCACCATCAAATTAGGCACTCTTTGCTTTGGTTATCGGGATCAAGGAAAAAAAATACAAAGAGAAAACATTGGGTTATTGGGATCGTGAACACGATTGCCTCCAGTGTAGCTCTGCTACTATTAAGGGATGATTTGAATCCGGTGCAATGGATTGAGGAGGAGACCCTATTCACCAAGTCAATCCACTACTCCAATAACTTGTTATTAGACAGAAGCATTTCTAACTAATCAAGTAATCGTCCAACTCCATAGACTTGGTATTTATAAAGTATAGCATTAATGGGACGAAAAGGAAGGCCCTAGCTGTAAGTCCAGTCAATTGGCCTGCTTTAATGTGAGCAATCTTATGAAGTTTATTGTAAATTGCTTCAACTACATAATTGTCCGGAGTATTCCTAACAATTAGCGGCTATGCTAACGGAAGTATAACAAAAGTATGAAAGTAGTAGAAAAATTAATGTTTAATATGAAGATGAGACGAACAAAATTATGCATACAAATTTGAAAACAAAAGGTGCCTTAAGAGTTCATTCTCTCCTCTGTGAGAGCTTTTCTTTCTCCTGTGAAAGACTTTCTCACCGGCATATGAGGGGTTTCGTTCTCATCAATTTGCGTCGGCGCCCTAGCTTTGGCTAGGGTCGGTAACAATCCAACGATTTCCTTGTGTAGTTTGTTTTTGTGGTTAGTTTGTTTTCAAGTTTGTTTATTAATAATTAAAAATTTAAAATGTTTATAATTAGGCTTTAATTGTTTCGTTATTTTCAATTTGAATTTGTCAAAAAGATTAATATTAAATTAATACTAAATAATATATCATCAATAAATAAACATAATAATTAATAATTAAATAATAATCTAATCAACTGACATGCCAATTAATTTACAAAATTTAATCCCAACAATGTCCCGTAAAAAAACTCACTCCTGTGCCGTTGTGAGACCTTCAGATAAAAAATGTCAAAATAGCGTAAAGCCCTCTCATTGATTTTTCTGATTCGCAGCTAAGGAGAAAGAAAGAAGTCGGGAAACGGCAATGGCGGCGGTGGGAGCAAGAGGAAGTGGGTTGGTCCTGCCAAAGCCGGTGACTTTTGTGACTGGCAACGCTAAGAAGCTCGAAGAAGTTCGTGCCATCTTGGGCACCTCCATTCCCTTCAACTCTCTCAAGCTTGACTGTAATACTAAACCCTAAACCGTAAAGCCCTCCCTCTCTGTCATTTTTTAATTTGCCAAGTTGGGTTTTTGTTTTTGGTTTTTGACAGTGCCGGAATTGCAAGGCGAACCAGAGGACATATCCAAGGAAAAGGCTCGGTTGGCTGCCATTCAGGTCCTTCTCCAATATCTCTCTGCTTCTGTCTCGTCACACACACACACACACACACATATATAAATATGCCAGTCCCCTCCCACCTGCCCAATGGAGGGATTCCTCAACTAACCTTGTTCAAAGGGACACGGATTTGCTCTGAATTTTTTTACAATGCTCTGAACTGTCTATTGTTTATTTATTTATCATTCAAAGATCAATGATCATCAATAAATTAGACACATTAGAAATAATTAAGACATCCAATTGCAGTGAAGAAAATAGATGAACACTGTATTTCAAAAGGTTGACAACCATTGAATTTTAATTGAGTGGTTAAATGCTTTGGAGCTGAGTGATTTTTTGCAATGATGATCTTTGAGCTATGACTTGAAAACTAGACGGTTCGAATCATTGAGAATGTGGAGTGGCCTTAAAAGGGTGTACCTCAAATAAGCTCCCTCGGTTGAAGCTCATTGTGTATAGTAATATCTATAATCTGAATGGTGTTATTGAATGAATGGATGGATAGGTAAATGGTCCTGTGCTCGTGGAAGACACTTGCCTCTGCTTCAATGCCCTCAAGGGTCTACCTGGTTAGTGCTCTCTCTGTTTTCCTTATTCTCTTCTTTTCGTTATGTACACATGTATAATTTATTTCTGATGGGCTCTCTAAAAATTTAATGCAGGACCTTACATGTAAGTTTTTCATCTTAATTGCCTTCTCCAGGTGGTTTTCTAGTTTACATGCTCTCGGTTTGACTGTGATTTTCTAGTTTACGTGATCTCAGTTTGACTCTAATTTCTATTATAGAAGACATGCAAATTAATTAATAACAGGTTTATGCAATTAGTACGTGTTTTGTTTGAAAGTTAGTGATTGGTTATTGTTTGGCATGTTTTTTATTTTCAACCACCAATGAATGATATTCAATCGATGACACTATTAGATACATGAATTTTGTATACTTTAACAATGCGTGCAATATTTATAGCTCCTTGCTATTTCAAATCTTGGGCACAAACAAGAGAATGGATAGATCAGAAGCATCCATCAGCCACCAAGTATAATTTTTATTGCAGAGAAACCTCATTCAGCATACCTATGGTCTGTTCAAGAGTCAAGTGGAGGCTAGGCGGTATAGTCCGTTGGTTAGGGACTTAGGGTTGTCGTCCCAAGGTGGAGGGTGGAGTGGATATTGTCAACAGGGTTTAAAGATTGAATATCTGGAGACTAAATAGGGATTTCCCTTCACACATTTTGTTATGTTATACTCATTTGGTGTTTGTTATTCCCCCCATTCTTGTTTTTCCTTCTCATTTTGCACTCTCTCATATTATAACAAGCTTCTTGTTTTTCTTCTTCTTTAACCAATTTGGCATTCGCTAATTTGTTTTCTCATGGAGTTCCCATTTATCTAAGGGATATATTTGAAATTCAAGCTTATATAATCTGACTGTTCCAATTGTTGCTCTTGTTTATATTCCCCCTTCAATGAATTTGGTCTTGATAATCATTTCTGAATGGTTACAAAGTATTCTACCTTTATCGCTGGATCTATAAAGGTTTATTTTTTATATTTCTCTTTCCTGGAAACCTGGCTTTAATTTCCCATGGGATTGAATTGACGCACCCATGCGTGTCATGACATCTGATTTTGTTAGGATTCTTTTAGTTGTGCTTTATTTTACTTTGATTTAAAACTATACGAACCGTTGGTTTTATCTTATTTGTTCTTCGGGCTTTAACAATTTGCATACGCTTCTCTTTCTTTTCTTCTGCTGTAGTCTAGTTCTATTTACCCTCTAATAGATTTGTCAACATGTCAAAAAAAATTTAGAAAAGCATATTGTGATGAGTTGATAACTTTAAGAATTTCAGGGCCCCAATCTGTAAACATAATCTTATCAGAAATCTAAAGCATGCCTTAGACTCTCCATATTTTCCCCTTTTAAGTTTTTTAGTTAGTTGTTATATCATGCTTTAGAACTTTACCTATTCAAGGTGTGATGTACTGGGAAGAAAGTTGTGTCAAAATCACTCAGCCATTCCAAAGAATTGTATCTAAATGTAAATACTGATAACTCCTAATCATGAAAATGTGTGGGATTACTGAAGTATTAGTGCAAGCTGAAAATGCCAAGGAGGAGAGGAATGTGTCATGTTATATGGATGGAATTGTTGAGAGAAGATTTAATCCTATTTTATCTTTAAATTTGGCTTCAAAGGTTTTCAAATTGGTAGAAAGCATTATTGTTGGTGGTGCTCCTGATATATTTGTTAAAAGAAACGGAGTCTGAGGGAACAAATCCTTGGTGATCAATTTATGCCTTTGTTCTATTTGTTTTTCCTTTTACTCTGTATCATATTTCTGAAACTTCGTACCTATTTTTATCTCGCCTTTGCAACCTGGTATGGTCATTTGTTATTCTTCTTCTTTTTGTTGGTTTATGAGATTTTGCAGTTCAGTATAAAATTTTCGTTGCTGCTTTAAATGGTAGTTTAGTGTATTTTTCAACCCTATCTAGTCCAATACTTTTGTTTTCACAAATAGCTAGACTTCCATTATATGGTGTTTCTTTAACAGTCTTACTGATTCTTTACAACTATGCAGTAAGTGGTTCCTGCAGAAGCTTGGACATGAAGGTACTTATCATTTCATTTTTCCTTCTATTTTTTCTCCTGTAATTCTTTGTTTGAATTTTGTGATGTCTGGGTTTCTAATTTTTTTGATTGTTGTTGTTTCTTTCATTTCTTATAGGTCTCAACAATTTGTTGATGGCATATGAGGATAAATCAGCCTATGCATTGTGTTCCTTCTCCTTTACCACTGGGCCCAGTGTTGAGCCTATCACATTTCTGGGTAAAACTCCGGTATGTAGACACCCTATCACAATTTGTTATTTGTTTTTTATATTCCTCTGTTGAAGGTCTGTAGACTAATGTACCTGTTTTTAACATACCGGACGTGGTTTGAGAGCATCTTATGCCGCTTAAGGCATTGTAACTTCTTAGCCTACGATCACTATATTTTTAATCAGTTAGAATGATATCCAAAGACGTGCATAACTGTTGACCTATCATGGAAACATTAGCTTGAGTCTTTATAACAAGAAAGACTCCTGGAACCTGGCAAATCAGAAGAAAAAACTGGTTGGCCCATTTAATCTAATAGTTCGAGTTCTATGGAAGAATATAGGTGATGGGTTTAGTTTCCAGTAGTTGATCATAAGGCCTCTGTCTACATCTATCTTCCCCCCTGCTGAGAACTTTGGCTTCCTATAATAAAACTAAGTCCTGGTAGATGATAATTTTCAACTAACTGAAAACTGATCCATTGGCTTTCATTGAAGAAAGAAAAAAGATGAAATTTGTGGCTATTGCAAATATTAAAGAATGTTTAGTTTGTGGAAATGGTTATACAATCACGGGATGGTTAACAGAGAATATGGCACTAACATGCAATTTGTGGATGAATTCCAGGGGAGAATAGTTCCGGCAAGGGGACCAACTGATTTCGGATGGGATCCAGTCTTCCAACCTGATGGTTACGAGCAGACGTAAGCTAATCCATATTATATATTTACTTTCTGAGTGGTCCATAGTATTACTTGCAGCTGATGTTTGTTATTTGTCTTATTGCAGTTATGCCGAGATGCCGAAGGAAGAAAAGAACAAGATTTCTCATCGCTTTAGAGCTCTTGCACTGGTGAAGTCTCACTTTGCTGAAGCTAGGTACACTTTCGAGGCAAACTCTGTGCAAGAGTGAACACTTCCTTCACTTGTTACCTCTACGGAGGAACATAAGCGATGATAGTGAGGAATAGCTTTTTTAAATACGGTTTTTGAGTGGAAGCAAAACATGCTATGAACTTTTGCAACGGTGATTACACTCATTCATACAACTATTATGACCTAGATATAGAAAAAGAATAACTCCATATATTACTATGGTGATTTTATATGGTTCTATTCTGCTCCATATGTGTCGATTGAAAGCATTACCGATTGATCATCGTAATATCTGTTCATGTTGTTCCCCTGCAATGATTTAAATTTTGATTTGGGACTAGATGTTGTCATTTGATGGAGCAACCAGTATATGTTCTAAATCTAGACTAGGGTTTGGCCTCTGGACAGCCATTAAACTGCAACTATCAACTTCGTAACAAACATTTGGTGACTTTTTCTGCCGAGCAAATACTCAAAAGCCAAACCTTACCTGAACTCCTAGCAAATAGGGCATGCTTCATCCCTCTTAAATAAATTCACACCTACAAGTATAAATACTTCAAATGTAGCTACCTATTTCTATATAGTTTTGCGTATATTTACGTTGTTAGACTGTAAATTGGACCATCCATTCGAGCACAAATCAACATGACCAAGTGTTATGGATTTGTCATCTGACAGCAATAAGATGCTTATCTTACAAAATAGTCTGAGGAAGAGAACATTAATATACACGAACACTATGTTCTATGCAACTTATTTTTGTAGCCACTTCAACTATTTAGGTTCCTATACCCAACCACCATTAGAGATCGTGTCTCTCGGGGCATGTTTAACCTTTTTATTGTCTGACCAGAAAAAAAAAAGCCCTTTTACTTTTCTCGTCAAAGGAAAACGCGTGAAGATCGATCAACATGATTTCACTATTACCCCAGTGTGTGTCGGTGCAACCCGAATTCTTGGCTAGGCTGGCAATTTTGTTTGGATTTTGTTTGGCGGGTTCCCTCACAAAAATAAATCCGTTGGGGTTTTTTTATTTGGTTGCCCTTAAATGCGTTGCTCTGTCTCTCTCGATCTAGATCCATCGGTCCTGGGTTGTACTTGTATTATGCAAGTATTGTACTACTTGGATAAAGATCTCTTGCAAGATTAATACCACCCATTATATTTACATGATCATACATCCGGAATTGACTCAACTTAATTTTTTACTTTTGAGAATACGCCTTTTCATTTGTCACTGTAACATTTCGCACCCCCCTTTTGTTTCGGTTTTTATCTTGTCCTCCGGTTTTTATCTTCAACTAACAATATACTAGTTTAAAGTTTAATTAGAAAAAAGGGGGATTGTTGTCATTAGCACTTCAAAAAGTCATCATGCACTCATTCTTGTCTTTGTGTTTTTTTGTCAAGAAAGAGTGCCGCAAAACTTTTGAAGTGTCAGTAACTACTCCGAGAGAAAACCCATGTTTGATTTTACAAACTGTCGTCATTTTTTCACTTGGAGATGCTGTGGAGCAGACATTTTCATGGATGGTGATGGGTGGAGGGCATTTTGATGGGGAAAAATCCCCCATCAAATCCTCCGAGTGATGATTGATAATTTGATATGGTTAATGCTTTATCTCACTTTTGCTAAACGAAGCCCAAATGAATTAATCAAATTGGGTCCAGCAATTAATCACTTGGTAAGATGATGATGATGGTGAAAGTTAAGAAAAAGGTGATGATGTTGGTTGCTGGTTAATCACTTGATGTGATCATGTGGTGTGGTAGGGAGAGCACATGGAAACAATAACGACCAAAAGTAAAAGATTGCTTCCATTGCCATTGCCATTGCCATTTGCCAAAAGTAACAGAACAAAACCAAAGGGTAAAAAGTAAAATATAGAAAAGTAACAAAAACATGACTGCACTTGCTATTTCCTTTCATAACTCAAAAGTTTGACGTTCATCTTCATACTATTGCTTGCTTGTATGACTCTAGACAAAGGAAAACCCAAATGTATGCAGAGAGAGGAAAAAAGACTGACACTGATGGGAGGAGGAAGACGAAGATAGAGACAGAATATGATGGGATGAAACAGACCGAGACCAAAAGGACAACGAAGAATAATAATGAACAACGCTTCTGTACCTGCTCCTAAAAATGGCATTGCATTTTTCAGTTGAAGCAGACCGAGGTTGACCAATAACAGAAGGACAATCTTGGGAAGGAGGGAGGGCGGATTGGATGATATGATGACATGTGTATATAATGTACACTTGCCAAATCTTGTAAAATGCAATAGATGGGTGTAGAAAACAATTTTGACGGAATCTGTGGAAGGAAATTTGGAGTGCTATATAGTTTTGGTAAAATGGAAATTTGAGATACTAGCAGGGGTGGCCTCTGCGGCAGGGAAGTACACCGGAACCTGAAGTTATAGCTCCAATCATGGCAGATGACTTGGCTCCCAAGCTTGAGGCCCTGGCGTAGCTTGCTGAAGCTCCAGCTCCAGATGGAGTGAAGTAGGCACCATTGAGCAGCAGATCTCCTTCTGATCTCCAGTTCCAGTTCTTCCATTGCGTGGTAGCCGTCTCGACCCTCTTTGTAACCTTTACAGTGTAATTCATCATCAATGATCAGTTATTATGGTGGTAAACAAGAACTAATTGAAACGTAGATATGATTAGTACTGCAATATATACCTCCTTTGCAAAGGGGTTGGTTGGAGCAGCATATCTGTTGCCTTGGCTGTTGATGGTGGGTTCTGCACTCCCACCAATGGCATACATTTCCCAGTGAGTGTAGTCATTGTTCACGACATGGAAATACCCGTGCCTGCACCTGCATTATTCACAGATCATGTCTTATGAACATCGAAATTAAAAGTGCCGTACAACTTGTTGGAATTGCATATCTGCTGCCAACAAACCAATTCTGATTTCATCATTGAATAGAAGAATTAACTAACTACCTCGGCATTCTTTGGATAAGTCCCTCTCCAAAGTGGTTGTAAGCAATTGTGACTTGCATTTGCTTGTCTCTGGTATAGCTATCACTGTGGCCCAGCAGCATCACCTGATTTCAATCAAATGTCAATATTACAACAAAAAGAATTCAGATGCAAGTAAATAGTAATAAATTGATTCAGAAGCACTTTAACATTACCTCATTGTGGTGGGTCATGTGGTTGTTGGAAATGGTAATTGCAGTTGAGCCCATGACAGCATCAACTAAGCCGTCAGCGCAGTTGGAGAGGGAATTGTGATCAACCCAAATATGGCTTGACCCGAAGATGGAGACAGCATCTCCATCAGCCATTGTCCGCCACCCAAAGTGAGTAGGCGAGCTCCTCACCAAAGCATTGCCAGTGGGCTTGCAGTCATGGATGTGCAGGCCGTGGATGATAATATTTGTAACATATTGGATTGTGATGCATGCTCCATTAGCAATGTGAACATTGACTCCGCGACCATCAATGGTCTTGAAGCTGTTCATGATGAGCTCCTGCTTCAACTGTATCACCATGTCTCGCTTGAACACAATCCAGAGAGGCTTGGTCTGGATGACAGCATGGCGAAGAGTACCAGGCCTGGGGTTAACAGGATCATCATCATTAGGGTCAGTGACAACATAGAAGCGTCCATCGCGGCCACCAATGGCATTTCTCCCAAAACCAATGCCACAGTCTGCAAGACGCTTGCGGTTTTTGTGCCAGTTGGGATCACAGCGCCAGCAGTCATCGATTGGATTGCCAGTTCCACACGAGAAGTAGCCGAGCTTCCTCCTCTCCGTGCTGTTGCGGATACTCCTGCAATATCAACAGTGTGTTTCTACCATCAACATTATAATCAAACAAAAGCTATTCCAGATTAATAAGTCAAACATACGATGCACTTATCCGTATAGTTTAAGATAATTAAAGTGAGATAGTAATTAGCACTGGGATTGATCTGGTGTGGGCAATTTCTGCCTAGTTTCCTTCTTGTGTTGGTCCTCCACTGTATTTGGCCAAATCCTGAGCACTAGATGTCCATTAGCGAGGACAATTGTGTCTTTATCGACTGGCCTAATTTGCAATTCTATGTGAATGTAATAGGCGGTGCCTAACACACAAGTAAATACTTGAGGCATTTTACCATTGAGAGCTAGCTACCCCACCCGCCATCCCTAAATGCAGTCAATTTTTTTCTATTCAAACCCAAAAGTACATAAAAATTATTTTTTTCTTATCACAGATTTACCCATGTGCATTTCCACAGTCACATGGATCATGACCATACCCAAAAAGGTTGAGAGAGAGACACACACACATGGATCATGACCATACCCAAAAAGGTAGAGAGAGAGAGAGAGGTAGAGAGGTAAAAATACCCACATGTCAACCATGGAAGCAATCTCTTCTGGGTCTTCAACCGCATGCTTATTGAATCCTTCTTCATCCTCAGCCACTCTGTAAAAGAAACCCAATTGAAAAAGAAAAAAAAAAAATTAAGAAAAAAACCAAAACCCAATGACCCATAAGCTTCCAAAACATTCACTGTTACCGAAAAAACGGTAGGATTTGGGTCAATCCCGGGCCAGTGGGAGAGCAACACGTTTCGGCCGCGGCTTAGACGAAAAGTAAATGACAAACGACTGAACAAAGCACGACTTTGCAGTGCTCGAGCCCACAGACACTGTCCAGTCAAAACCGTTAATGGGCGTCTTAGTCGGCGAGTGGTGCACATGTGGAAGTATGGGTACTGGTCGAGGGTAGTTTCGGTAATGTGCCAAAAAGAGGGAGTGGGGCGAACGGGGTTTTTCGTTGGAAAAAAGGAACGAGAATCCGAGGGGCACGAACGTAACGGAATAAACGGCTGAGATCTTTAAATCCAGATCTTGACGGTTGATATTTTTATTTTACGGTTAGTGTAAGAACAGAACAGAACAGAATCATCCACCGGACAATAACAACCGAACGGACAGGGCGACGGTTGAGATCCATCCACGTAGACAAGAACAAAGAAGAAAAAATGGAATTAACGTTGGGGGGAGAGAGAGGGTTCGGACCTGGCCTCCATTGACGAGGTGCTCGAGCTCTGCAACTCCTCTGTTCCTCCATTGCTGCACATAAGCAACATACCAAAATAAACAAAAAGAAAAAAAAAATTACAGGAAATTGAAGTACGCCAATTTGTACGGCCAACCCCAAGACCCCTCTCTCTCTCTCTCACTCTAAGTCTTAGCTCTTCCTCTGCTTCAATGGAGTCGACTACAACTCACAAAACTCAACCACCCCAAAAGTTCTAGAATCTTCGGATTCTTGGTCCGTACTGCATTTTCTAGTAAAAAAACAAGCAATGGAGCTCCAATTTTCCAGTAAGAAATTCCCATTGCCCTTTTTCTCTCACTAAAGTTTACAGGAAAATGTAGAGAGAGAGAGAGAGAGAGAGGAAGAGGAAGAGTAAGAAGGAGCAAACCTGTTGCGAGAGATCTCGGAGACCATAGCAGCTGCGAAGCAACACACGAGAAGCACCGTCACGAACGCACCGACCCATTTCTTCTTACTATCAAACACCGCCATTGCAATTGCAGTTCCTTTCTCTCTTTAAATCTCTCTTTCTCTCTCTAAATGCGTGTTTCTGTAAGGAGGAGGGAATGTGGGAGCAGAGAGAAATTAAAGACGCACACACAAATGAATGTAGAGAGAGAGAGAGAGAGCAGACAAGTAGAGTCAGAGAATGGGGAGCTCCCACAAACAATCACACTCTTTATATAGACACCCCACTCCCTTCCTTCCTTCTAACGCCGTTTACAGTTAACTAACTAACAAACACCATTTTTCACTGTTTGGTTCCCTTCAATCCCCCGGATTAGGTTCTCTCTAACCCAACAACCAAACAACCTCCACCACCCACATTAACGGCTCGCCAAACCCACCCCTCCCCCATACTCTCCGTTCGTTTTACTGCCAGGGATTTTTACCTTTTACTGCGACGCCCCAACTAACTTTTAACTCAACGCTTTTTCTTGCCACGTCGGACGAGGCCGTTAAGGGAGAGAGAGATAGAGTACGGATGGGGCGTTACGGGAACACATGTCACGCTAATCCGCTTGTTATGCGCTATGGATTTTTAAATTAAGATTATTTTTTAAATTTTTTTAATAATGGCGTGTTTGGGTCGAAATGTAATTTGAGGCGCCAATCACGGCCTTGAGCTGGAGGGAGGACGTTATGCTTACAGTTTTTTTCTTGTCGAAATTATGCTTACAGTTTGCGCACGCAACACCGAATTTAAGGGATTGTTTGGTAGCAGTTTTAAAGGTTTCCCTTGTTTTTTATTTTTTATTTTTTTTTATTTTTTTTAACAATGATATTATATAGGGATAGGGAAGCGAATTAAGCCTTATACTAGTCTAGTAACAATGTGGCACAAATTCGACTTTGGCGAGAATCGAACTTAAGATCTTACAAACGAAGATGAATACTAGTAGACCGTAGTACTAGGTGGTCAAGTTATAGTTTGATTATATTTATATGACGGTGACCAACTCAGTCTAATGCCAATTTCTAGCAAATCCCACATGTGAAATGAACCCCACTTTTCTAAATTTTTCAATATTTAAGTATGATTTGTTAGTAGATTTCAGTCTGTTTTTAATATTGGAATTGGCAAAGACATACTAAAAATTCAAATGCCAAGGAACTAAAATTGGTATCATAGACTTAGAACCGTGCACAATTTTAGCAACATGTGAGTGAGTTTAAATTAAGTTGCTACATGTGACGCTCAATTTTTGTGATAGCTTTTGATAGATATCATCATGTGTTTCAATATATCCCGTGCAAAGCTAAACATATACAATAACTCAAATGGGAAAAGAGAAAAAACATAAGAAAGAAAGAAACTGATATAGTATACTGTTGTGTTCATCTAGTCACCATGAATTAAGGAACAAGGTGACAAAAACGAGATTGATATAGTTTTTTGTAACATTACACAATGTGTGTGTGTGTGTTTTTTTTTTTATTTTTTTTTATTTTTATGCAACTGATATTATAATGTTCTAGCCAACTTGACTAAAGCTCATACCTGCAACATTAGGCCATGAATTACAAATAAATTGTGAGCATCTTTCTAAACCATGTTAATATGAAAGTATTTGGATTACAAGTTTAAAAACTCACAATTGGCATCTCATATTCACATTTTTTTTCGCGGGATTTTGGTTAAAACGAGCTAATTTTAGGACTGGTTACTAAAATGATCAAAACTAAATATCAAGTACATAGCTATCAAATATCAGCGACACATTGATAAGATAATGATGACATGCTAAAAATTGGTTATTTTAACAATTGAATTTTGTTTTAGATGATTTCATGCTTTTTTTTTTTGTTGTTGTTGTTGTTGTTGTTGTTGGAAAGGCACTGGGATTGAGATATGATTAAAGCTTTGACATGTAATGTAAAACTCTGAGTTGGGTTCATATTTGTTTTGGTAGGACAAGAATTGAAGCCACCCATTTCAGCTATAAATGCAAGAGAAATTGTCACCAAAACACTCGCTTTTTTTTCTAGCCAAAAGTATGACACTTTCATAAATGCTAAGGGGACTCTTTCAAAAGTAAGACTTTGTATGGACTTTCTGCCACATCATGTTTTGGCACAATGTTTTATAATGTTGTCATGAGAATTAACGTTAAACTGTAAGGTAACAAAGAATTCATTTAGAGTCTTACTTTGGAAGAGGCTCCTTAGTATTTGTCATGACACTTTTAGTATCGCACTTAATTATCTATTTCGATCCCATCCGTATTTTTCACCATTTAACACCTTACCATAATTTTTAAGGCAGTTGTTGTATCCTCTCCTTGAAGCAAGCTTTTTTTTTTTTTTTTTTTTTTGTTAATATTGGGTAGAAATTCAAAACGTAAACCTAAAACCTAATCCTAACCTTATTCCACCCCCCTTCACGGCCACCTGCGCTAAATAATTTGATGTCCTTTTTTTCTTTCAAATGAATCGTAAGACTATATATATATATATATATATAAATAAATTTTTACAGGTAAGAATATCTTTTTAATTAACGAAAAATAAGTATCAAAATTCAAACTTAAAATTTCTTCTTACATTCCTAAATAAATATGATTACATGAAGATTCAGCTGACAACTTTCGTTTGTCAACCTAACTTAAGGCAAAAGTGTATATACTAATAGTCAGCTCTCTTGGTGTACTGATACATATATATATATATATATATATATATATATATATTTTACAAATGCGAAAAACTGCTCCAGGTTCAAATTTCCCATCCCATTAATATAAAACAAAAAGAATAAAAAAAAACTCGGTGACTGGTCCAAAAATATATCTGAAAACTGTGGTATTTAAATTTTCTCCACTGTATAGTGGCATAAGATATTAGACATCTACAAATTGATATGCTTTATAGGTCACTCGTAGTCTACCATCAACATCAGTGATATTATCCTAACTTAAACACTTATTACTAGATGTTGAGGTGGTATCTCTCATTGATTAATTGTAAGATAACACTTGGGTATTCATTAGTGAGAGCTCACTTTTTGATTTTGTTCAATGATATTTTAATACATGTTTTATTGTATTAAAAATAATGGACGTGTTATTTAATCTTTCTTGGGCTTTAAAAAACAAGGATCACATGTCATTTCCTAATTGAGCCGAATCAGAAAGTGAGTATATAGAGTATTCAATAGTGAGTGCCTACGTACTATCCTTAATTGTACACTTTTTTTGTCATGTGCCTGATGTGAGATTTTATTCTCTAACACAAAACATGTGACCAATAAGCAAAACAAAAATAGTCTATGTAGAGCCAAAAATAATCTCAAAAATCATGGAGGTGACACGTGGATTTTTGGACAAGAAAGATGAGATTATCCTCGACGCACACCGGAATTCTTATATGCATGCAACGGACAATAACAGCTCAATCAAGGAAGAGCCAAATGTGATTAATATGGTATTTATTCAAATGTCTCTTACCACTCCTGATGTCCTTATTGATTTTATTCAAAAGGTAACTCTCAACACTTCTTATTTAATTTAGGAATAATTGTCATGTTAATTGCAAGATATTATTTCACATAAAATCTTGCAATTATTCACCCAATTACACCATATATGGCCGACCATTCTCCACCAATAGGGCCGGCCACCCTTCTAAAAATACCTCTCTTATCCCAATAAAATGCTAAGCCATTTGCTACCCACAAACTCCTAAACACATTCATTTCATAATTTTAACTTTGGTATCAGAGATTCTTCGGCCAAAGCTCCCCCCCCCCCAAAAAAAAAATCATCATTGGCGAGTTTGGCATAATCTTAGGTTTTATTATTTTGCAGGTGCATTTTCGACAAAGGAGAAGATGGAAATTTGCGTCCACAAATTGGTGCTTTCATTGAAAGTTTGATTCATACACTCGGAAAAGAATTTCGCATTCAAAGTTTGTCATTTCTCATTCATACGTAAATTTTTCATATGTTCTTATTCCTAGAATTTTTTTTTTAATTCTTTGAATAAACGTAGGAGAAAAATGCGATGGTAGGAAATTCGGAAACCATGACGAATGGAACTTTCTACGTTCAAAGATCCAGATCAAATGATGGAGATTGATGTAGCCCCACCACAACGATCCACGAGGCTCAAGCGACGACAAAATGAGTAACTTTGCCACTACAGAGTACCACCACCACGGCAACCACGATAACCACCATCGTAGTGGAGAGTGGGACATCTTCATGGCAGCAAGGCCACGAAGTAACAGTAATTGCCACTTTGTAGCAACAGCAACTGCCACCTTGCAGCAACAAGCCCAAGCCCGTGTCATACGGTAGTCAACCCAACATAAGGCAGCCCAGATCCAGCAGGGGCATGACGCTGCCATAACAGCTATATATTATCTAGTGGAAGGGATCATAATCAGGTTAAATGAAGCTCGATAGGCGTCCATGCACCTTGAATCAATGAATGAATGAATGAAAAGAAACCGCTTACGGTTTAAGGACCCGTTGGTCAAGGGTTGAGTACTAAATCACGACCTAAGCAGCTGCAGCTGCGGCAAATGGAGCAACCCAACACTTGCGAGCCCAAGGCTAGTGCGAGCCAAGCGCACTCCAAGCCTAATGCGAGCCCAATGACCGTTAACCGAAGGCCAAGCAGGCTAGACCTCATCGCGCCCACGCGCTTTGCACATGGCTCGGCCTAGCCTACTTTTACGGTCCACCTAGTGATCCCGATCGATCCAATACCAGTTTAATCGTCCCAACTTTAGATTTTTGGACCAAGGATTGAACCAGGGGTGTTTTCACCCTAACTTTCTGCATATTTGATATATCTAAGCTATAATCTTGCCCTCCGGAGTCCATTACACTTCCACTACTCAAAGAGACGCATACCGTCCAAGTTCTTCCATCCCGTATGACGAAGAACACTTGTCCCGACAAGTAGTAGAACTAATGAGCGCCCTTGCACAACAGACGACCTTGGTGAATCAGCTTTTGCAATGCATCAAGATGTAGCATGCCCCAGACGAGGTGTCTCGAAGCAGGACAAGGGCAAACGACAAACCTCTCCAACAACATCCGGGTAAGCAGCCCCTCGACTAACCACAAATCGAGCGTTCTGGTAGTTTACACTCTAGTCTAGGCCTTCGAGATACCATATACTCCCCTAACGCACAAAGGAGCATGCACTCTCGA